AAAGCCGCTCGAGCTCAGCAAATTGATAAAAAACAAATATATCTATGAAACTTCATAATTTTTACCCGGAGTACTCGTTGTTCAGATTGTCCACCACGTGCAATGGCTTACTGAATGCGCTCAGTGCCCATAACTTCAACGTACCATCAACTGCAAATTCATACTGCTTCAAATCACGAAAATTAACTAAAAGAGAATTGTGATGTATGAGTCCCGCATTGGCCGGAGGCGAAGACAGTGATCTCTATGTTTTGCTCTGTTGTTGTGCGTGTGCTGTATTTAATAAGGTTGTTATGAGCAAGGTTGAGGGACGACCAGTGCGCTTCCCCAAGTGCACAGTGTGTGTACAGTTCACAACTGTTGCCGCCCTATCGATTAATCCTCAGCCATCGCGCGCGCTGTCCTCATAGCGTTGTCCCTCACTCTCTGCCGGCAGTTCTACTCTCGCCCCGCGCCGCTGTTTCCTTTGCGATTGTCTGTTGCATTTTATTAATGCTGTAATTTAATGTTTACTCACAACCTTTGAATGCAGCGTACCTCATTGCAACGGGACAAGGCTCAGGTCTGGGTTAGCCTGAGATTGAGGTGACTTTCTTCGTACCCGGAAGTTGTACTCCGTTAAGGACAACAAAACTGAGACTCCAAATAAATTGCTTACTCCAGGATGCGGAATAATCTTTACTTCACAGGAAAATAACAAGATTTCGCTCAGCTTAAGTTCAGTTACGCTTCATGGGTCGAGATTTACGGCTCCCTCGTTAGGGTCGTTTTTCTTTATCCTTGTCACTCAATGCTTACAATCAGTACGCTACGGCTTACGTCATTCAGCGCATTCCCCAAGTTTTCTTAAATCAATTAAGCTTAGGCATGAAATAAACGTCTTACGTGATCGTGAGAGAAGTTGCTTGCTGTCCGGAGAAAACTGTAGCGAAGTAACTGGTGCAGTATGAGCTTTTCTGTTTAGAAATGCCGTATTCACCTGTAAATGATTCACTCATCATCTATCGCTACCTCACCAACAATATTCCATAACTATAAGCCAATAGTGGCAACCAGGTTGACCCTGGAAGCCTAAATGGCGAAGGTGCGATAGATTACAGCATGAAAGAACAGTATGGGAGAAGGTAAGAGTAAGATAAGACGCTTCGCGCTGCGATAGAACTTCATCAATATGAAAGTCGCAAGTGCTTAATGCAAAAGGAAAAGGGAAAATCGACGAAAAAATTCAAGTTCATAACAACTAACATAGAGATTTCCATGTTTCCATATTTGAATAGAGCCATCATTACATCCAGCTGCCACAAGCTTTCCATCACGTGAGTAGCAGCATGTTGTTGGGATGGCTCTTTTACCAAGAGCATTCTTTGTTTTGATTATTTTCCTTTGCTTATTAATGCAACGGGTAATTTCTTTGTAATCATCGATTGACCAAATTCGCAAAGTCCTGAAAAACCAGAAAAAACCAATATATTGAAATATAGAAGATGAGGGGCCATACACACAGCGGATATAAGGCCTTTAAATACTTCAAAAAGATTAAAAATAGTCACATAGGATTTAAAGGAATTTGGAGCTTAAAAAATAGTCACATAGGATTTAAAAAGAATAAAAAATGCTAAGCTAGTCATGTAGCCAGTATGAAAGATACCAGATCGACAACATGGTCTTCTGCGCACCACATTTACAGTCCTACTGTCTTTTCCATCATAATCTATTAACAAATTGCATCCTATATTAAATTTATGAATTATGGCCGGTCGATTATTTTTCGTGGTTTGAGCTGTCCATGAAAATTTTAGCACGAAAAAAATTTACCCGTCGTCAGCACAGGTTAAGAATTCCGTTTTCGTGACCGGATGCCAGCAGCATGCATTCACTGAACCCGTATGGCCTTTGGTGTTGGATAAATCAACCAAATACTGATCACCTGGAACATATTTTCAATGAATACAAAAGAATGCAATGCCTACAAAAAAAAAACCAATACATTATGAAATTAGCACAATTCTAAAATGTCAAAAAAAAATACCTCGGACAGTTTCGGCCCATTGTTTGCCCTGTCGATCAAGAATTCGGATTTGTGCATGACCGCTGGCAACTAATAATTTTTCACCATTT